ATTTTTTATTTTTTGACATTTTTACCCTACCTTCACATTTCATTGTGAAAATTATCCTTCTCATATAATTTCTTATATAAAATGACAAATGTACCATCATATTTAAATAGAACAAAAAATAAAAAAAAATTAAAGAACAAATTTCAATCATACTACCTGATTTTTAAAAAATGTGAATGCATCTAAATAAATTATTAAAAGGATAAATGGTACAAAACATCCATGGCTTTCATTATTATTGTGCAAAATGTTCATACTTTTCATTTTTTTTTTTGACATTTTCACCTTATTTTCACATTTTATTGTGAAAATCATTATTTTAATTCATTTTGTCAATTAAAAGCTGTAAAATGAAAAATATACCCTCATTTTTAAATAAACAAAAATATTGTTATTGAAAGCCATAGACATTTTGTGCTAATTACCCTTTTAATAATTTATTTGGAATTATTCACACTTTTTTGAAAAGTTTGGGAGTATGATTGTAATTTGTTATTTAATTTTTTTTTATTTACATAAGAATGTAATATTGCCATTTTACATGAGAAATTGGACAAAAATGATAATTTCCGCAATGAAAGGTGCAAATGGGGATAAAAATGTCAAAAAATGAGAAGTAATGACGTTTTGCACAATAATGTTGAAAAGTAAGGATGTTTTGTATTAATTACCCTTTTTCAAATTTCATAATTATTCAATTATTATTTTTAATTAGAGATAATTAGGTAGTTACAAATTTGGTTACTAATTTCTCTATAAATAGGACCAAAGGTCCAAAAAATTTCTTAAGTGAAGACTATAGGGGAAGAACCGCAAGTCCAAATGAAAATTCTAAAGTTGGTGGAAGAGAACAAAACTCTCTAAAACCCTAAGTGCAGAAACATGTAGAAGATCAAAGTCTCCTTCAAATTCAAGACAAGTTTAGAAGATTAAATCTTCTCCAAATTAAATCAAATAATTCAAGTCTAAATCTCAAAGTGCAAATTTAAGCTTCGAAGTCCAAGTGTCAAACAAGTCAAGTTCTCAACAAATCAAGTTTTCAACAAATTTTGAAGTCCAGAATTTAAGTCACATGGTCCCTCATCTTCAAACTGGAGTTTGCAGTTCTCCAATCACAAGAGATTAACATCTACTTGTATTTAAAATATAATTTGTAATAATTTCTGTGTTTAATACATGAAAATTGCCGTACAATGCTAAAAGGTGTTGGTCCATTAATTTGTTCTTATAATCCAATCTTTTTCTGCAAAATACAACACGATTAATTTGAGTGGAAATTATCAAAATAGTCAATTTTTAACTTTGCATTTACAAATATGTCACTTTTTTTTTTTTACATTGCAAGAATGTCAATTTTAGACATATTTGCCCCTCTAGCCAATCTCAAATACCCTACATGTCCTAATGGAACAAATTGTACCAAAATTAAATGAGATTTGACCCATGTGCATAAATTGTACATAACCTGCCATGTGAAGTTAAAGAAAAAGGGAAAAAATTAGACCCAATACCAATGGAAAAAGTTTAAAAAAAATCAGCCCCAATTTTTAGGGTTTAGTTCATACTCTTCCTCTCTCTGTGGCCAGCATTGGAAAGATCGAAGAAGATCGAAGTCCATATCTCTTTGAAGTCTAAGCCCTTCCGTCGTCGACTCTCTTTGTCTCTCTGTGGCCTGTGCATTCGAAAGTTCGAAGAAGGTCGAAAGTCCACATCTCTTTGAAGTCTAAGCCCTGCCGTCGTCGACTCTCTTCCTCTTTCTATGGCCGGTGCATTCGAAAGATCCAAGAAGGTCGAAAGTCCACATCTCTTTGAAGTCTAAGCCTGCCGTCGTCGACTCGCCATCCACGCCGTTGCCTGCGTAGCCCTGCCGTACCGGTAAGTTGTATGTAATATGCTTTCAGATTTTAATATTCTTTCTCCTTTTTTTATTTTGCATCCAACAATTTGTTAAGTGTAGTGGGCTGAATTGGAGATAATTTATTGAAGTTTCGAAAACCATTACGAAGATTGTAATATGCTTTCAGATTTTAATATTCTTTCTCCTTTTTTATTTTGCATCCAACAATTTGTTAAGTGTAGTGGGCTGAATTGGGGATAATTTATTGAAGTTCCAAAAACCATTATGAAGATTGTAATGAAAAATGCAGTATCCAATTCCCAGTGTTCGTGTACCATAACAATGAACTATAGACAGTTTGACAATTGAATATAGATTAAAAAAATGATGTAAATAGCTTTTTGAAAAGATGATTAATTTAGTTTACAGCATAAATATTAGGACACAGCCCAAACGAAATCCTAATACATAATCAAGTCATAAGCATCCAACTTCAAGAAAACTACAAAAAAATTCTTAGGAAAGATTGAAATGAAAAAGATTCCCATGTTAAATAATAAAATGTGGCACCTCATAGAAAAATTTAAATTATTTTATTGCAATTATGTTTCGTAGTAGCTTAATATATACAAAAACCATTATTATCAAAGTGTTGAAGATGCCAACTATCCTAAAGGAATAAACCCTTTCAACTTCAGCTGTTAACAACTATAAGTTAATGTCAAGAAATTATTGTCCTAAATGACCTCTAATCAATTCCAAGTCAGTAACAGCTGGCTCAAAGCATAGATAATAAATATGAATGAAAACTAAGTAAAAGAGTCATGCTAATAATGCATTTTGCACCAAAATCCTCCAACTGATACTCATGTTCCCTTTCTCTCCATATGTAAAATCAAAGTAAAGACAATTAGCTTCATAGTTAACTCACATCAAGGTGCATTCATCAAAGAGAAAGAAGCAAGCACTATCAAGGAAAACCTCAAACAACTAAAAGATCAGACAGTCTTGCCTCCAAGAACACTATAAGAGGCCTTAAACACGAACTAGGTGCTTGACAGATGCAGTATTAGATGGGACTAGACATTATAATAAATCATATTTGAGCATCTTTTCCTTCTTCAATCCCGCTCATCAAACGTGTCAGAAATGTGCAAATGAAAATAGTCAAAATCAAAGACTCACGCGAAGGGATAAGGCTCAACAAAGAGAGCAATCCTCCTAGGTCTAGAATTCATCATTTCTCACCTGAAGTTCATTTTATTAGACAATGGTTTACCACGAAAATTATGTCTGCACACAGCTCAAATGCTAAAGTCTTGCAAATGTGAAATCTTCGTTCTAAATTTTTGTTTTCTGATTCTTTGTTTCGATATATAAGAGCCTTCACTCATTTATATTTCGCACATCGAACAGAAGTACAAAGGGAGACAGCTTGCTTACGGAGAGGGAGAGACGTGTCCTTGAATTGTGAGAAGAGCGTTGTGGAGAGGAGCACGTTGTTCCCAGTCTAAGGTTGCGTGTGGGGTTTACTTTGAATTGTAAATTATTTTTGATAATAAATTAGTTGTGCTGACTGGTTCGTCAAAGATCTTGTTCGAAAAAACTCTAAATTGTCAACTTATCAGTTGGGCCTCACATACATATCGTCAAAATTCATGTAATCGTGGATCTCATAACTGATAAGTTACAAATTAAAAAATTGTCCAATTTATTCAATTTATAAATCCACTTATTTTGATTTATACAATCTATGAATCTTAACTTGATAGTTACATGTATAGAAAGTATTTTAAAATATTAAATCAATTTTTATCGATGTATTTCGTGTGATTTATATGTACCACCTACTTCTACTATACTCATCACTTATAAAAAACATTAGTGGTTATTGTGGCTGGACTTTTGCTTGTATTGGACAGACGACACGAATATCGAAATATCTCGTGCTTGTGGAATTTTGTATCCGTCTAATTAAATTTAATTTTTATGGAATGTCGATGTATAACTTCATACATACATGGGAATATTTGGTGCAGCCAATTCTCACGACTGCAAAAGTCAATTAATGTAATACACGTTGTAAAGAAGATTTGATTTCCGATGATTTCATTTGGTTTAGGGAAAAATTATCTCATGCTAGGATTTGGTTGCTCAATTTGATGGGAAACGTAGGATGGATAAATATTTATTTTCTTTCATTTCATTGATTGTCTCAATTACTGTTGACCATGTTGAGGTGTACAAAATGGTGTCATTGATTGTCTTAAGTATTCGTCAAATAGTTGAGGTGTATGATACCGTGTCCTACCTACTTTGACCTCTAAAATTGTTTCGTTCAAATCACTTGGACACATGTCCCTGACTGTCTCATATTGACTCTCCATTTATGCTCACTTACTTAAATTTGTTTCCTATTTTTGATAATAAGTACGGTAACTTGAATGGCTACGAATCCGTACCTCATTTTCATTTTTTTCGTATCATCTACTTTTATGTTAGTAATGATCATCATAGTGTTGCTGACATTTCTCAACACTCTTTCGTGTCAGATATTTGTTTAGGGGAATAATTATCGACGTGTGTTTCCAACTTCGTTGGTGTGGTCATATTCCGGGCACATTCATGGCTGTTCTATTCCAAGCCCCCCATTCGTATATACCAGGTGAGGATTCGTAATACTTTCTTTCATTTTCAAGTGGGTTAGACATATGAGGTGTTTTTATATGTAACTTACGTTAAATCCTATGCTTGTACGGTGACATAAGCATAAATACGATTGCCTATCTTTCCAGTTCCTAGCATGCATGTCTGCCTTCACGCATCCTCCGTTATTACTTCTCAAACATACTTGTATGTGGCACTGCATGATATGTTGAACTTGCACCCCTTAGCACACATAGCAACTCCCAGTGAAGTGTCGACCCCGACACTTGACTCTCTATTTTCCTCGATAGTTACCCTATCATCCCTATTTGGACATCAACCGTCGGTATCGACAGATGTCCAAAGACAGAGTGTCGATACCGACGTTTGATCTCTGTACTTCTCGACAGATCACCGTTTTCATGATGTTGCTTCCTTATACCGTTAGACATTATACAACATTGTTTATGTTTATAATCTAATCCCATGGGTTTTGTCAATGCACCTTGCAGGGTAGATGGACTTTGAATTCCTGATTCCAGAAGTCGCACGATTGCGGGTCCACATTTCCCAACGCAGCAACTTCAAGTACGTTAAGACCGTGATAGACCATTTTGACGAGCGGCAACGCGAGGACTTTCGCAACTTTCCCCTTGGGTATCTGGCTGATGTTCCAGACATTCAATTCTCTGTCCAACTAATCCAACAGCTAGTGTTTAGAATAGTCTACACAGAAAAGGTGAACGAGCTTTGGTTCAATGTGCAAGGCTACTTGATGAGATTCGGTCTACAATAGTACGCTGCTGTGACGGGGTTAAGATGCGGTTTATTCCCGAAGGGGGACGATTTCGATCGGTTGATTGAGAGGAAAATGTTGAAAGAAAGGTACTTTAAGTCCAATGATAAGATATCATTGGCACAACTACAGTCTAATGTTGCTCGACCATCGACAACCCGTGTTGATTGCTACAAGCTAGGGCTGGTTCTAAATGTCGAGGAAGTTTTCAATGCTCCGGATAATAATGTCAGTATCCATTTGCCGACACTATCAATGATCGACGACCTGAACTTCTCTTTTTCCTACCCTTGGGGTAGAGTTGGATATAGGCAATTATTGCACGGGTTTCGTAGTAGCTTTGCAAGAAAATTCCAAAAGGCCAAGAGGAGGAAGGAGAAAGAGATTACATGCACGGTGCACGGCTTCCCCCATTGCCATACAGGTGCATACAGTTAGTAACATTATCATAGCATGCATGATTTACCCCTTCGGTAGCATTACACCTATAATCTTGGTAATTTGAATGTGTTTCTTTTGTTGCAATAGGTTTGGGCGTACGAGGTGATTCCGGAGATTGGGGAACACTTCAGTCAGTGAGTCGGTGAACGAATGACACGACTTCTTTGCCGGTCCGCACGAAAGCAGCCAAAGCACCGTACATACGATGCATTTTTCAATAATGTACAGGTACAATTTAGACATGTGTTCGTTTCCCCTTTACCATCTCGTGACAATTTGCTACGTTCTCATGTGATTATCATAACCTCATTTTTGTAGCTGCATGTGTACGTCACTCTTCGCCCCACCGATGCAGAGGCTGAGCAGCCATATTTGTCTACTCTCGTGCCGTACGACGATCCCTCGATGCCTGTGCTTGATGACATTGTGAGCACTGTGCTTGTGCCGCAGTTTCATTCGTTGCATGCCGATATTGGAGTTGGTGGACAGTCGGGAGGTCAAGATTTGGATGATAGAATCCGTAGTGGACGAAGTGGTGACATTGAGACATCCGGAGATGATGACAGCGATGGGCAGTCAGGAAGTGATCGCGATGGCGACGACAGTGATGATCGCGATGGTGACGACAGTGAGGATACTGGTGAGTCTTTCTCCTCTCCAGCGGCACCGGTTCCTTCACCAGTGCGAGGGCCTACGACACACACACGGCTAGTTGGAACATCTGCTTCCAACTTGACCAAAGGGGAAGTTAAGGAGCTGTTACTGGACCAAAGAATTCTCTTCGAGATGCGATTCCGGACTCTGAAGCTTGAAATTGAACAGCACGTGACATTTGAATGTACAAGACTCTGTGAGTTCATTGCTGCCCAAGTGGTACCACCCCCTACCACTGCTCCGCGCTCAACGGGCACCATTGTCTAGCCCGGTCCTTCAGGTTGTTCACCACAAGATATGAATCTGACATGTGCTATTTTGTTTTATTTTCTGAAATTAACCACGGTACAACCATTCCCAACGTATCGGTTTTGAACACTTGTTTCGTGTTACAATTGGATGTAGACGTACATGGACGAGGCACAAACCCATTGCCCACTCCAATTGAAATATGAGTCGACACAGGACATTCACAACCTCCAGGTACGTGCGTTATTCACGAGCAATTCTAAACATTTTATTGCCTGGACGTTGTATGATGCTTGAGTTGGGAAATGTAATGTATTCTCATTATGTCACTGTTGCTTTCCAAAAAAAAAGCATACAGTCCTTCATGCTCGGACGAGGGGGAGCTGCTTGTAGGAACTGAAGACCTACTAGGTATGTGGGTAATTCATGCACAAATCGAAACATGTTATTTCATGGACTATGCATGTTGTGAAACTTGACATAACAAATGTGCTCACATTATTTTACTGTTATTTTCAATAGAGGGAGCTAACATTGTGCCATGCCCGGACACCGAGCATGAGCCATTGCCCACTCCAATTGACGAGCAGCAAGGTATTGCGTCAATTACGAGCATTTTTTGCAATTTTATGTCATGGCATTTGCTTCCTTTGCCACTTCGTGGAATGTTATGCATTTACATGTGTTCTGTTAATAAGATGGAGCTGCCACAAAGCCCTCACAAGCGGTTGTGATCATGGTCAGCGATGCAGAGTTCGACGGTTGCAACGTCACAGATGGCGAAGGTAAGTTCATTGCATGCGTTACTAGTGCGTATAATACGTCTGCTTAGTGGACGTCATTTACGGTAACTCACTCGGCCCGTTCCATTTTCACGTAGGTGTTGTCGCTGACGTACCTGTTCCCATCCCTGTACCAGAAGTCGGAGGCAGAGTTCCTACGACGAGACGGCACTCCGCCCGACTGCGACGTCCCGCTCCTACGACGAGGACTTCATACACGAGGGGAAGGGGAAAGACAATAAAGAAGTAATTGTGAATGAAGTGCCGGGACGGCAGGACGATGGGGTTGTTTTTGGTTTTGCCTTGCCGTTAGAGGCGTGCAGATGGTGAACGATGTTGAGGAGAACAATTAATCACTTGGTTTTACGTTTATTCTAACATTGACGCTTGAATGACTCTTGACATGTGTTTTGGAATTTTGATGCGGGCCTAACATTTTGCCTTGCCGTTAGTTATGATATAATCCGTGTCTACTTGTGATCACATTTTGTTCTACTCTTACAGGCCGGATAACTTGTCCATGTCTTATATTACTTGAACAGTCGGAACGTAAGTTGACATGATAAGCGTTGCTTCTCACACTCATACACTAACCTGCTTGATTATTTTTCTCTTGCAATGTTCGTTCTCGTCTCTTCGCATGTATTGTACTTCGTCTAATGTGTTTAATCAATTTTGAGATACGTTCTCTGCATATTTCTAATACTATGTTATCGTTGAAGTTAGCTTTTGAAAATAATCTTTGCATTCTTCAATTATTTGAAGCTGTCCAAGTTTCGACTTGGTGTCTATTTTACTTGTCATCACCACGCATTTAATTATTTTCCGTAAGTGCTCTTTAGCGAAAATAGGATTTATTCCTGGTAGTACATTGTTAATTGGCAACATGTTTGCGGTACGACCGAGCTATTAGCAATGCTACTTTTAGTTTAAATTAAATGTTATCTGTTATTCGTTTACAACATAATGCACATTTTTATTTCATTTTCCCTAGGAAATGTCATGTACACCTAAAACTTCTGCAATTACGGGATATTTGCTGCTTCATTTATGCCATTTCATTGGAGGATGACAGCTTATCAAGGTAACCCATGTTATACTTAGCACTCTTTCATGCTGGATGTTATATATTGAACGTTCTAGTACTATAATTACAAAAACAAAAAATGTCGTTATAACATTTACATTGTGAACAAATCTGACAACTTGTTGCAATCTAAATGTATGGCATATTATTGCAATATAAATTCAGCGGACGCCTAGGATCACATGCAATTCATATATATAATTCTTTATATGTGTCAGTTATGACATAATTTTTGCAACCCAATTAATGTACCATAAGTTTATGATCACATGCAATTCAAAGATAAGAACTTATTATTCGAAATGTATGGTATATTTCAACTACGTTAATGTACCATAAGCTTAGGATCACATGCAATTCAAAAATATGGTTCGTCATACTTGTAATTCATGGCAATTATGGGCAGCTGAAATTTTCCATAACTTAAGGATCACATGCAATTCAAAGATAATTTTGTTTCAAATTTATAATTCAGGGTACATTTTTTAATTTAGGTTGCAGAGATATGAGCTCGTGCAGATGAAGTTTGGGTACGAGAAACGAGGCTCTGGTGCACTTCCATGGAATGTGACGAAGAATGAGATAGCATTCCTTGGTGTTGTACAGGCATATATTCTGTCAACGGCCCGCAGGGATGAATTTGATATTTTTCCGTACTGTGTAATAGTACCATCTACTTCAAACATTTTTTGTGGCATTTAGTCGAAACTGTTAAGTATATTTGAAATTTATGTACAACAACTCTCCGTTTACAATGAAGGCACTTGACTCATACTACTACGGCATACGTCTGCATTTATTTCCAAATTTATTGACCTCTTTTGTAATGTGCATATGCCATTGTAACCCTAAACATGTTTAACATCATAAGCCAATAAAAAAGTGCCCAAAGCATGACAATCGTGGTGCAACTACTACACAACGGAGTTAATGTCTATTTAGTTTTTGTTTCATTCGTCGTGTAACATGTGCGTGAATATAATCTAATCCCATTTTTGTGAAGCACTACAATTACAACCATGGTACAATTGCTGGGATTATTTTGCACAGGGACATTTCAACAGTAGGAATGTAGATTTAGTGGATTGTACAAAGATAATAAAGAGTGTTAAAGGTCATACTAATTATGGGGAAATGAGGGATAAAGGTACTATAAATTTATTGAACCATCACACCAATTGCTTTTCAAATTAACAAGGAGATTGGACTTGGTGGTTGGGTAGATGATGAACATAATTGCTTTTCCTCTTCAACTTGCTTATAAATACAGTGTCACTACATTCTTACTCTTAGACAACTTAGTGGAATAGCATTGTGAGAATTTGTGTCTCTCAACGACACATTTTGTTTCATCAATACTTTACTACATCAACATAATGAGTTCGTCCACAGGAAGTACCGAACTGTTAAACATGGATGAGCCGTTGCCGTTTTCCGGTTCCTCTCCGTTATTTCCAATCTACATTTCCTTAGACGATGAGAAAATTGAACTTCGTACGGGTAGGAGAGCCATTTCCCCTATTCCCTTCCCAAACTTGGAAGATGTTGGGAGTGACGATGGTTTGTCACAAAACGATGTGCTCGATGCGGTGTTCGCGATCGACGCTGCCAATGAGGGGGAGTCCAAGGACGACGATGGGCTGGCATACGTCCCACAAAAAGAGGTAATTATCATCTCGTCTGACGATTCAGGTGAAGACAACGGGGGAGAAAGTTCAGTTGTCGAGGATGAGTGAAATGTCGACCGTGGAGTGTAGTGAATAAGTAGTGTACAGTCCACTCTTTTGTAGGGATGAATTTGATTAATACAGAACCAAAATGTCTGCATAAACATGTCCCTAAGCTGTAATCCGGGTAGTGTATTTTGTGTATAGTCCAGTCCGACCGAACTGCTGAGAATTACAGATTTCTATCTGTCAAGAACGACAAATTAACCTACATCTATATTTTGCACCACGTTTAGTGGATGTTATGAAATACTGTTTATCATGAGCTAAATTCTCTCCGCGGATGACGATGTTACAAATTATAATAAATTTCATGGGTATTGAAGATAACTTTTTTAAATGGGGTTCATCATGCGCGCAGTCCAACGACAAAAGGACAACGTCCCAATTTACAATTCATTTCGGTTACGGTTGAAAATCGTATATTTAATACTGTGTGATTCGTACAAGGTTTTGCCTATTACCTTCAAGTATTTTGAATGACCGTACACTTGGAGGGTTAGATGTACGTGTTTAAAGACATTGTTTCAAGTATGTTACAATTACGTTATATCCCTTTCACAGAATCTACAGTTCATCATGTACGTGAAAACTGATCTTAGAGTGTTGTGCACACTTTCGTCAATTGTCGGGAATCCAGAACACAT